TGATCAAAACAATACCAGAAACACCTGAACAAAATGGTATAGCAGAAAGGATGAATAGAACCCTGAATGAGATAGCTAGATGTATGTGGATCTAGTTTGGCCTACCTAAAATATTTTGGGCAGAAGCAATAAATACAACAATTTACCTCATAAATAGAGGACTGTCAGTTCCCTTAGGTTATCAATTACTTGAAAAAGTATGATCTGAAAAGGAGGTAAAACTTTCACACTTGAGAGTTTTTGGTTGTATCTCATATGTTTTGATAGACTCTAACAAAAGAGATAAATTAGATCTCAAGACAAGAGAGTATTATTTTATTGGCCATGGATCTGACATGTATGGCTACAAGTTTTGGAATAACCAAAATAAGAAAATCATTAGAAGTAGAAATGTTACTTTTAATGAGGTTGTGTTCTATAAAGATAGATTTGTGGAATCTATGAGTACAACGAGAATACCAAAACTTTCTGCAAGTGTTGAATTGGAAGAAATTTTAGAAAGTGATGTAGCCAATAGAAGGTCAGATACAGATGAAGAGTCTGAATTAGAACCAGAACCCACAACAATGTTAGTATGACCCAATTGAGGAGATTTAGTAGAGTACTAGTAGCACCGCAAATGTATTCTCCTTCATTGCATTATTTGTTATTAATTAATGCTGGTGAGCCAAAATATTTTGCAGAAGCTATGCAGGGGAATGACTCTATTAAATGGAAGTTAGCAATGAAAAACGAAATGATATCTCTTCAGAAGAATGGAACATGGTCATTAACCAAGCTACCACAAGAAAAAAAAAAGCCTTGTAAAACAAGTGAGTTTATAGGTTGAAAGAAGAACCTGACGGTAATAGAAGATACAAACAAAAGCGAGACTTGTAGTGAAAGGGCTTCAACAGGAACAGGGAATTGACTTTACAAAGATTTTCTCTCCTATTGTCAAGATGACTACCATTAGAGTTATCTTGAGTATTGTAGCTGTAAAGAATCTTCATTTGGAGCAATTAGATGTTAAAACTGCATTCCTACATGGGGATCTAGAGAAAGACATCTATATAGTACAACTAGAAGGTTTTGAAGCTCCAAGCAAGGAGAATATTACATGCAAACTGCAAAAAAACTTTTATAGCTTGAAACAAGCATCAAGACAATGGTATAAGAAGTTTAATAAGTTTATGAACAACTCTAAATTTCACAAATGTTATGCAGATTATTGCTGTTATGTTAAGGAGTATATTGATAGTTATGCCATCCTTACTTTATATGTTGTTGACATGTTAATTGTAGGGTCCAGTATAACAAAAATCAATGAATTGAAGGAATAGTTTGCAGAAAACTTTGAAATGAAGGATCTTGGACTAACTAAACAAATTCTCGGCATAAGAATTGTGAATACCAATTTTTGTATTTTCGAAATGGCTTCCAAATTTTTTTTATTTTTTTAATTTATAAAAATAAAATAAAATTATTTTACAGAAAAATGGAAAATTTTGAAAAAAAGGAAGAGACTGGTTCATGGAAATGGTATCCCTGCACTATGCAGTCTGAGACCCTAGTTTCAAAACTGACTGAATGCATGAAAAGGGAAAGGGTCAGATTTTGGCATTTTGTATAAACCCTAAAGGAACCCAGTATAAAATCTAAAAGCAAGAGATTTGGTGAGGGAAACTTTTCGAAAAGAAAAAAAGCAAAGCAAAAATTTTCAGAGAGAAGTGTGAAGTTTTTTCTGAAAAGAAAGCAAACAATTTTTTGGAGAAGAAACAAAGTTTCAGAGAAAGAAAAATATTTCAAGAGGTAGCAACAAGTTTGTTTTCAAAAAAGAGAGAAACATTTTGAAGAGGAATATGGGAGAAAGAGAGGAAGCAGGTAAAAAAAAAGGGAGCATTTTATAGAGGAAGGAGAACAGCACAACAAAGAAGAGAACAAATAAAATAGTAGACTCCCTACTGTTGTGGTCAACATCAAGGATTGGATCTTAGCTCTAGTGACCTTTTAGGATTACAAGCCACCTTTTGTGAGTTTTTACACGTAAAAGAAAGTTATAGATCTTTAAGTTAGACCCTTTAGGAGACCTGAAATAGGACACAAAAGGGGGTATTCTTTCCTTATTTACTCTTTTAGAAATCATGTGAATTATTAGTGCGTTAAAGTTTTAAATAAAAAAAAGAGAAGAAATTTTTTTTTTTACTATATTTTGAAATCATATAAGGACTAGTGATTCACATGATTCTTTCAATTAATTTTTCTTATATCATCATCATTTCATATATCATTGCATATCATTTATTTGAATATCATGCTTATTGCCATCCTTCTGACACTTGTAATAAATTTAAAATCAGTTTTGAAATAAGGTTGAGGATGACAATTTGCATAATTTCTTACATCATTGCATTGTCAAATGAAGCATTACCCTTTTAAGTATCAATTTAGATTTATCAAAAATAAAATTCAAAAGATCTTAAAAAGGGTGATGATTCATATTGTCCTCACATTATCATGGTCATCACATATTTGTCTCATTAATGTAAAAGCCGAGTGGATTATCGATTCATTTAGAATTAATGTTGATTCTTATATGGATGTTTATCTGTTTAGAATCAATATTAATCCTTATGGCTACTAGGATTCTATGTTAATGAAACAAATACAAAATTTGAAATAATTTCTCATCATTTCCTTTTTATTTATAGGTTGAGAATCACAAAGTTGTTTGAGTATTCAAGAAAATGGAAATTAATGTGGGATCAAGTAGAAGTGATATGAGATCAGTTGAGCTGAGAAGGAAATTGCATCTGAGAGTTAAAATGGCTGACACGGCTAGTCTGAGAGGGTTAGGAAAGAAGCTGAAGACAGTCCAACAACTCACTTTAGTGAGGAGGTATGGAAATATTTTGAGATTGATGGAAGTGAATGTGCAAGAAGATGCCATAACAGCTCTAGCCCAGTATTATGATTCCCCATTGAGGTGCTTCACTTTTCAGGATTTTCAGTTGACTTCGACCTTAGAGGAATTTGAGCAAATTCTAGACTTGCCTTTGGAGGGTCAACAGCCATATCGCCCTATGGAACATCATGCATCTCTGCCAACTATTGCCAATGTCTTAAGGATCCATCCAGTAGAGTTGCAACAAGCTTATCAAGAAAGACATCAGAATAGGGGATTTACAAGAGATTTTCTTGAACGACACATGCATAAGTTGGCAGAAAAAGAAGATTGGGAGACTTTCATAGATGTCTTAGCACTTACCATTTATGGCATTGTCCTTTTCCCTAAGCATGACAACTTTGTGGATTTAGCAGCAATAGATGTGTTTCTTGCATGCAAAAATCGATCTGAAAATCCTGTCCCTGCACTACTAGCTGATGTTTATTGTACACTGAGTTTCTACCATGAAAGGAAAGGAAAGAGGATTATATGTTGTCTACCTATGCTTTATATATGGCTCACAGCTCATGTCTTTAAAAGGCCAAGTGAGATCAAGTGTCCGATCACTGATTTGCTGAGGTTTCAGATTGGGCAGAAAAATGGTCAAGAGTGGGCTAATCACTTAGCCAGTTTGACTGAAGGACACGTCAGGTGGCACACTCCATGGCAACAGTCAACGACTATTGTTTATCATTGTGGCAATTACCCAAATGTTCCTCTTATGGGTACTCGGGGTTGTATTAATTACAATCCAATTATGGGACAACGTCAACTCGCTTATCCCATGATGGGACCACCTGCCGAGGAATTGTTGATTCCTTTTGTTGTCTATTATGAAGATGGAAATTTCACTGAGCTTATCCAAAAGGCAAGGAATGCTTGGGCAAGGGTTGTTCGAAAAGGAAAAGAGTTAGGCGTGAGAAGTTGTGCAGCGAAAGCAAGTTACCGTCAATGGGTTAAAGAAAGAGTCCAAGAGATTAAGTTACCATTCAAAGATCCAGGTACCTCCCAAGAAAGTGAGCCATCTAATCCAGAACCCTTTGAGAATGAAGAAGTAAAAGAATTAAAGGTAAGACTGGCTAAGATGATTGAAAAGAATGTGAGGGTAGAAAGGGAGCTTCGAGAGAGCCGTCAAACTTGCGCCATTTTGAAAAGAGAAAACAGTGAAAAACAACAAGCCTATGAAGAGGTTTGTAAGAAGCAGAAGTCTGTGCAAATCCATACAACTAAAGTTCAACGTTGCCTTGAAGCTGCAAACAAGGAATTAGGATTGAGGGTGAAGGATTGAGGGTGAAGGAGCGAAATGCAGCTTTATATGAGAAACGACAATTGAAAGGTGCATTGTACAAGGCAAAAAGAGATCGAGAAGAAGCTTTGACTCAAGCGAGTGAACTCCAAACACGAGTGAAAAATATGGAAGAGCAGATAAAGGAAATTGTCATGGCATGCGAGGCTGAAATTAATGCTGAAAAGTGGGAAGTGATCAGAATCATGAAAGAGTATGAAGCTATTGTGAAAGTGAAAGATGGTCAGATAGAAGAAGGAGATAAGCTTATTGAGTATTGGATCAAGCGCTTCATACAACTTGCATCATTAGCTAATGCCGCGATTGATGACGTCCCGTATATGTTGTCAAAGGCTGAGACAGCTACTTTTTTCTACATGATACCTCAAGAAATTAAAGATTTCCTTAGTCATTGCAACTGGTTGGTCTCAGAGATGAAAAGAATGATAGCTAGGGCTAGGAAGGGGTGATGTAATGATTTGGGGTATGGGTAAGAAAAAAAAGATGTATTTTGAATCAAGTTCTGATGGACTTTGATGTTTTAATTTGATTATGGATTATATTTTGGTGTGTTTCATTTGACGAGGATCCTACATTAATTTCCATTGAAGACTTGAAGACGCTCAACAACTGTGATGATTCTTTAGTTTTTGGTTGTTATTTTTTTAAGTGCATTTTTCATTTTGATTAATTCTTTTTTGACTACAAACTATTTCAGAAAATTAAACAAATATAACGGGGAAACGTTTTCTAAAGCATCCTTATAGAACTCGCGCTCAAGCAAGGATCATGGATGAGTTAGAGGAGCACAATGAAGAGCTAAGAAACGATGTTAATCAGTTGAAAGAACAAATGACACAAATCCTAGAGGCACTGAAGTCTTTAGAGCAAAGAACCACAGAGGGGACCCCTATTCAAGCACCTCCAGCACAACCCACTCCTACCTATCCACCAGGTTTTACCCCTACACAAGGACCGTCCCAAAATTTTCCTCCTCATGAAACAATGGTGCCTTTGACCTTGCATGTAGAAAGGCCTCCACAACAAGCTTTCAATCAACAAGATGTCCAATTTCCCCCATATGGCCTTCCTCAAGGTTATACACCACCGATAGCTGAGAACCCACCAAACACTGGCCAACCATCAAATCAACCCAATCCTGCACAACCTTCAGGTCCACAAATTCAACCAACCCAAACATCCATCCCATCATATGCTTACCCTCAAAATACTCATCCTCAAGAAACTCATATACCCCACACTATACCTACCCTAAATCAACCGATCCATCACCAACCACAAATCACTAATCCTAGCCTTGATGGAAACCCAGCCATATCACCATTCCATTCCCATAAGACCTTAGAAGAACCCCAACCCAATTACTCAGAGGAGCACTTCCAATCCAGAGAAAAATTGCAAATATTAGAAGAAAGATTGAGAGCTATCGAGGGGAGTAGCTATGGCATTGGAGAAGTCGCGGATCTTTGCTTGGTCCCAGATGTGATAGTTCCTCCAAAATTCAAAGTGCCTGATTTTGATAAGTACAAAGGAACGACATGCCCAAAGAGTCATCTGATCATGTACTGTAGGAAGATGGCATCACATGCCCATGATGATAAGCTACTAATTCACTTTTTTCAAGACAGTTTGATTGGAGGAGCTTTGAGTTGGTATATGCATCTTGAGCGTACTCGTATTCGTGGTTGGAAAGACTTGGCTGATGCTTTCCTAAAGCAATATAAGTACAACATTGATATGGCTCCTGATAGATTACAACTGCAGAATATGTTAAAGAAGGAGGATGAGACTTTTAAAGAATACGCTCAGAGATGGAGAGAAGTTGCAGCTCAAGTGGAGCCCCCTTTGTCTGAAAAAGAAATGGTAGCTATGTTTATTGATACTCTCCAATCACCTTTCTATGATAGGATGATTGGAAGTATTTCGTCAAACTTCTCTGATATTGTGATTATTGGAGAAAGAGTGGAAGGAGGAATGAGGAATGGTAAGATATTTCACAATTCGGGCGGACCCTCCAATTTGAAGAAATTTACAAATGGTCCAGGAAGAAAGAAGGAGGGAGAGACTAATGCTATAGCCTTTCACCCAAGAGAAGTTCCTTTCATCAGACCTAACCCTGCACCTTTTCAATTCCAACCCACATTTCCTGCCCCTCAAATGTCTTACCCATATGTCAATGCTGTTTCACAGAATCCAAGTCCCCAATCTTATCAGCCGCAACCCTACCAATCTGCTCCTCCTACTTTTCCCATAGCACCACCCATGAGACCACCTCAGCATTGGAACCAAAACCCAAATCCCAACCAAATAAGACCCCAAAACAATCAAGAAAGGAAGCAAGTTCAATTCGACCCAATCCCCATGTCCTACACTGAGTTACTACCTCGCCTATTCCAAAGTTCATTAGTTGTACCCTGTCTAATGAAACCTGTAGAACCGTCCTATCCAAGAGGGTATGACCCAAATGGTAAGTGCGAGTATCATGCTGGTGGCATTGGTCATTCGACAGAGAATTGTAGGGCATTAAAGTTCAAAGTGCAAGACTTAATTAATGCCAAATGGCTGAATTTCAAGGAGGATAATCCTAACATTAAGAGTAATCCCCTACCTAGGCACGGAGGATCATCGGTAAATGCCGTTAAGGAAGAGTCTGTACATGTTTTAAAGAGGAAAGTTGAAGAGGTTATCACTCCTCTTAAGATTATTTTTGCTGAGCTGTGCAAGGCTGACTTGATCAAGGGTTTTGTACATGAAGGAAATATGTGTGATTTGCACCTTGATGCAGACCACTCCATTGAAGATTGTGAAGAATTCAAGCATGTTCTACAAACCCTGATGGACAAGCATTTGGTCCAAATTGGATTCATTCTGCTGGGGTTGTACCATCCACATTGCATCAGAAACTGAAGTTTATCATTGATAATAAGTTGGTGATTATCTCTGGTGAAAAAGATATGTTAGTGAGCAAACCTTCATCCACGCCTTATATTGAAGCCGCTGAAGAAGCTCTAGAGACCTCTTTTCAGGCTTTAGAGATTGCAAATGCTACTTATGTTGGAGAGGGAGCTCCAATCTTAAAGCCTCGATTTTCTAATACATCCATAATGACTGCTAAAGTCATGCTTGACGGAGGTTGTCAGTATGGATACGTGTTAGGACAAACCATTACGAAAGCAGCAAACTGGTTGCAGCTCCATGAGAATAAGGATAGATTTGGGTTGGGATACACACCCACTAAAGCTGATAAGAGGAGAGTCATGGAGGAAAAGAAAGAAAGAAGATTAGCCAGGTTGGAAGGTAGGGAGCCCAAGACTGAAGGGGTCCCTATTTGTGATCTCCTGAAAAGTTTCTATAGTGCTGGATTTGAGTTTCAAGACTCAGTGGCTGCTGCTGATGTGGATACACCTGAAGAAGAGGTTGTGGACCTAGTTCGCACTTGTCCGCCAAACACAGAAGTTGGCAATTGGGAGATCATCGAGTTACCTGTGATTTTTAATAGCTATTCAAAGTAATTCTTGAAGTTAATCCTATTGTTTTGTTCTAAAGCTTTAGGATATCATTACTTTTTGAAAACGTTGATATATGATTTCTTTTTGTAATTTGAAATATCAGTTTGTTTTGTAAATTGGGACACATGTTTCCTTTTAAGTATATTTAAATGAAATGCAATTTGAATTCTCAGTAATCTTTCGTGTCTTTTTCTTTATCAGTTGAATCTTGTCGTTTATTTTCTTTTTGTCTCAACTCTCACACAATGCAGATTCGAAAGTGACATGTCTGAAAGTAACAGTGCTAATATCTCATCCACTAATTTTGATTGTCCCATTAATCGAGTTGTCGAAGATGATAGTGATGTTGATTTACCCTCAGAATTTCTAAGATTGATCGATCAAGAAGTGAAAGAGATCCAACCTCATGATGAACCCACTGAGACAATTAATTTAGGGACTGAAGATGATAAGAGAGAAATCAAAATAGGCACCCTCATGAAAAAACAAGAGCGCGACAAGTTGATTAAACTCTTGCATGATTATAATGACGTCTTTGCATGGTCTTATCAAGATATGCCAGGCCTAGATGTTGACATAGTCGAGCATAAATTGCCACTAAAACCAGAGTGTTTCCCGGTTAAGCAGAAATTAAGGAGAATGAAGCCTGAGATGTCATTGAAGATTAGGGAGGAGGTCAAGAAGCAATTTGATGCAGGTTTTCTTGCTGTTGCCAAATACCCTCAATGGGTTGCTAACATTGTGCCAGTTCCCAAGAAAGATGGAAAGGTTCGGATGTGTGTTGACTATCGTGATCTAAATAGAGCCAGCCCTAAAGATGATTTTCCATTGCCTCATATTGATATGCTAGTAGATAATACAGCTAAACATTCATTTTTCTCTTTTATGGATGGTTACCCAGGTTATAATCAGATCAAAATGGCTGAAGAGGATATGGAGAAAACCACATTCATTACACCTTGGGGCACCTTTTGCTACAAGGTCATGCCTTTCGGTTTGAAAAATGCCGGGGCAACATATCAAAGGGCGATTGTGACATTATTTAATGATATGATACATAAGGAGGTTGAAGTCTATGTGGATGATATGATTGCCAAATCAATGACTGAAGAAGACCATGTTGTAAATTTACACAAATTGTTTGAGCGGTTGAGAAAATTCAAATTGCGGTTGAACCCTGCCAAATGTACCTTTGGGGTAAAATCAGGCAAGTTGTTGGGATTCATTGTTAGTCAAAAGGGAATAGAGGTTGATCCTGACAAGGCAAAAGCAATCATGGAAATGCCGCCTCCTCGCACTGAAAAGGAAGTTCGTGGATTTTTGGGGAGATTGAATTATATTGCCCGATTCATATGCCAACTAACTGCCACTTGTGAACCAATTTTTAAGTTGTTACGGAAAAATCAGCCGATGGAGTGGAATGATGATTGTCAAGAAGCTTTTGAGAAGATAAAGCAATATTTGCAAAATCCCCCGATACTAGTGCCGCCAGTGTCAGGGAGGCCGCTTATTATGTATTTGACAGTGTTAGAAAGATCCATGGGATGTGTTTTAGGTCAGCATGATGAATTGGGTCGGAAAGAGCATGCCATTTATTATTTGAGCAAGAAGTTCACTAATTATGAAGTTAGATACTCTTTGTTGGAGCGAACTTGTTGTGCCTTGGCTTGGGTAACTCGTAGGTTAAGGCAATATATGTTGAGTCACACGACCTGGTTGGTGTAAAAAATGGACCCAATCAAATATATCTTTGAGAAACCAGCCCTTACTGGAAGGATTGCTCGTTGGCAGGTCTTACTGTCAGAATATGATATTGTGTATGTTACTCAAAAAGCAATCAAAGGCAGTGTTCTTGCAGATTTTTTAGCTCATCAACCGGTGAATGATTATCAGTCAATACAGTACGAATTTCCTGATGAAAATATAATGGCGTTGCTCAATGAGAAAGGATCGTCAGCAAGAGATGAATGGGTCATGATGTTTGATGGTGCTTCTAATGCACTCGGACACGGGATTGGTGTTATACTAATTTCCCCAGAGAAGTAATATATTCCGATCACAGCTAGATTATCATTCGATTGTACAAATAATGTAGCTGAATATGAAGCATGTGCTATGGGAATTCAAGCAGCTATAGAGTCAAAGATCAAAATTCTTGAGGTGTATGGTGACTCAGGCTTGGTCATCCACCAGCTAAAAGGTGAATGGGAGACTCGAGATGCCAAATTGATCCCTTATCAAGCCTATATCAGAGAGCTAGTGGAGTATTTCGATGAAATTACTTTCCAACATATTCCTCGTGAGGAGAATCAATTAGCTGATGCTTTAGCTACTTTATCATCAATGTTTGTAGTGAGTCAAAAAGAAGACATGCCGTTCATAAAGATGCAACAGCTTGATCATCCTGCCTATTGTCAAATGGTTGAAGAAGAATCTGATGGTAAACCTTGGTATCATGACATTAAAAATTTCCTAAAACACCATGAATACTCATTAAATGCTGTTGAAAATGACAAAAGGACATTGAGGAGGTTAGCAATGAGTTTCTTTCTGAATGGAGACGTGCTCTACAAAAGGAATCATGATATGATTCTACTTAGATGTGTGGATGCTTCAGAAGCACAAAAGATCATGGAAGAGATTCATGAAGGTTCATTTGGGACCCATGCCAATGGACATGCCATGGCAAAGAAGATTCTAAGGGCTGGATATTATTGGTTGACAATGGAGGCCGATTGCTTTCGTTATGTGAAGACATGTCATAAATGCCAAACATATGCTGATAATATTAACGTTCCCCCAACAAGTTTGAATGTCTTATCATCGCCTTGGCCTTTTTCAATGTGGGGAATTGATGTTATTGGACCCATTGAACCTAAAGCCTCTAATGGTCATCGCTTCATTCTAGTTGCTATTGACTATTTCACAAAATGGGTTGAGGCTGCTTCATATGCTAGTGTGACCCGAAATGTGGTGGTGAGATTCATTAAAAAGGATTTGATCTGTCGGTATGGCCTCCCAAGCAAGTTAATAACAGACAATGGCACTAATTTAAACAACAAAATGATGAAAGAATTGTGTGACAATTTTAAGATTCGACATCATAATTCCTCTCCCTATCGCCCAAAGATGAATGGAGCAGTTGAAACAGCCAATAAAAATATTAAGAAGATCATCCAAAAGATGGTAGTGACATACAGAGATTGGCATGAAATGCTGCCATTTGCCTTGCATGGATATCGAACTTCAGTTCGCACTTCAACCGGGGCAACTCCATACTCTTTGGTATATGGAATGGAAGCAGTACTTCCTATTGAAGTCGAAATTCCCTCTTTAAGAGTAATAATGGAGACCAAATTGGAGGAAGCAGAATGGGTGCAATCTCGTTTTGATCAATTAAATCTCATTGAAGAAAAATGGTTGAATGCATTATGTCACGGTCAACTATACCAGAGAAGGATGAAGAAGGCTTTTGATAAAAAGGTTCGCCCAAGAGAATTCAGTGAGGGAGATATGGTGCTTAAAAAGATTTTGCCGACGCATAAAGATTATCGTGGCAAGTGGTCCCCTAATTATGAAGGACCATATGTGGTGAAAAAGGCTTTCTCAGGAGGGGCTCTAATCCTCACAAACATGGATGGACAAGATCTTCCAAACCCCATCAATTCTGATGCTGTAAAAAAATACTATGCTTAAAAGAATAATAATAATTAAAAAAAAAGAAAAAATAATAATAAAAAGAAAAAAGAAAATAGCTCGCTAGGTTGAAAACCTGAAAGGGCAACCTAGGCAAAAGTTAGAGTGACCTGTGAGCTGAAAACTCGAAAGAGCAGCTCAGGCAAAAATTAAGGTCAAATAAATACTACACTGAACTGAAAACCTGAAAGGGCGGTTCAGAGGGGCACTAACTTCAGTCGCAAGAAAGGGCTTCAAATCGATAAATATGATCGACTAGAATATTAAACTGGGGCAATTTTGAGAGGTTAAAGTTGAATCAAACGGAAGATGGATTCAAAATACCATACTGGGGCAATTTTATTTTGGCAGTTTTGTTAATGGATGATCAATTTACGGGAGAGATTAGCACTGTTCATCTGGAAGACGTCACTTAATCGGCATAATACTTCACTATTTTCATAGTCATTTTGATCCTTTGATGTATTTTTTTTTTTATTTTCGTTACTCATGTCGTAAGTCTTCTTTGTAAATTCACCCTTTTTTTATTACAGTCATTCCTATATTCCAAAAATATTTATCTTTGTCTTTAGTCACCTTCCATTCAGCTTATATACACCACTTTGTTTACTCAACTTCTTTAATAGCATTTTTATTGTCATTTCAATAATTATATACTAAAAGGAAATATGCAAACTGTTAAAAGGATACTAAGAAAATACG